TTGAAGGACGTTCTTGACCGCTGTTGCGCATATCAACTCCATGCTCAGTCAAAGATCTGCTGTCTTAACAACATCCGTAAGTGAAAAACGGAGAGAGCCCATTGCGTTGGCAGTGGAGGGTACGTCACTGCCATTCTACCTTATTGTTGTTTTTTAATTTCCTCAGAAATTAATCGCTAACTTAGAGTAAATATGCTTGAGTTAAGGTCTATGGGCGCAGACTGAAAGTTGATATGAGTATTTGGACCGAAGTTTATCAGCCACAGCGGGATAACCGTGTAATATTCATTAAACTGCCAACAAGCAGCTAGAAGTAGATATTGGAGGTGCACTTTACACCACACTGGCAACACAGGTACTAGCTACAAGCCCAGACAAATGCTTTTGCTACTGCATGACACAGCTGCACCATGCAGGGGCAGAATAACTGCGAAAAACATCTCTAGGATTTACATAGTACCTGTGCTGTCAGTATGCCTAACATAATCTACCTTTCTTTTCCTAGGTTGGCAAAATAATTTTGAAAGAATGGGTACCACACCTGTTCTGCCCATAATGCCAGTGAACTAATGAAAATAACATCCTAATAGGGTCTTCCAACCATTTACACATGTACAGCTGTCTCACTCGCGTACGCAACACTCGTGTTTTTAGAAGGTATCGTCAATTAGAGTTAGGTACATTCAAAGTGAAGAGAAGGGAGGAATAAAAGCTTCCCATCCGAGTTTTGTAAGTCCAGGTAGCAGAAGCAGAAGGGAGAGAGGAGTCAGGGCCTACTCATCGGAGCAGCAACAGGTAATGGGCATCGGAACGGCCTTCAATGGGGGCAAACTGCGAAACAGGCAGTTTTTAGGATCCGATATAGAAGCGCTCTAGTTCTAATCTACACACTGGGTTACCTACGAAACGAGCACGGACCATAGAGCTAGCACGAGATGGAAAAGGTCGCCTTTTCTACCCGGCTTAACCCGGTCTTCAGAACCTCTGTATTCTTCAATAAGTGAGCCAAAGGGGGTAAATGGAAACAGATAGGCGCTACGCTGCGATAGAAGGGACAAAAGAAGGCTTAGTCTCAAGAGAACTAGTCATTGGACTCACACAGCGTCCCAGTTCTCTATGACTTCGACGCAGGACTGAATCATGAGGCGAAGAGCGTCTAGCGACTGACAGTTCCTCTCGCGGTCGGAAGCAAGAAGTAAGGGAAGGTGGTCAGGCGAAGAAGACTCGCTTCGCAAACCCAGTTTCGCGGCGAACTGACTCAGTTCCGATGTTAGAAGAGTCAGTTCTTCGCGGAATGCCTGTGCATCGGCGCAGAAGGAAAAAATATTCGCATATGAAAATTACAAATACACTGAAGTTAGTCGAAAAATGAAGATAATTAAATTGGGGCAGCGGTGGAGCTG